CACGGGACAGGAAAGAAGCCAGAGGCAGGAGGCTGCCTTTGGTGTGGTGTCACCTCTGACATGCTAAGTCTGTTGGCTTCTGCCCCAGAGATCATGGCTTATCACTGTTACGGGTCAGGACATGTTGGCTTCTGTCACTATTTCCCAAGCTGCCCGCAGATGGCTGGACACACTGAGTTGGCTTCAGAGTAACGTGTCACAGAGGTCTGTGACAGGTTGTCCGTTTGGACGTTGAAAATGCCCGATCGTTCTCACCTGTGTGTAGTTACTGCTGACCTTTTCTGGCTGGCAGTATTGGGTTCAGTGTCTAACGAGCCTGCTGTTAGCTGTTCTGAGGTTCATTCTGCATACCCGTCTGTATTAATGCTCATCCTGGGCTGTGCCCTAGGAACCTGCAGATAAAAGAAAGTGTGTGCTAGGAGAGGAAATAGACCAACCAGAGAGAGTCAGGAGCCAGCGGGACATTGCTGAGGGCCTTCATGTCAGTCCCACTGCCTAGGGTTTTCTAACACAGCACCCAGGAGCCTTTTTAACTTAATAAATCCCTATTGAAGGAGTAGTATTTGTATCCCCAGCTGTCTTTCTCTAACCTGCCTTTGAAAGTTCTCTTTTTAAGGGCTTTCAGGATGAACATCCGGCCGGAATACCCAGGCACTGCTTGCTAGCAGTCCCCACACCTAAAGAGAAGGATTGGCAGGCTCAAGGGTCAGGATCCAGACAGAGATGCTGGGATGTGTCCACAGAGAGGCTTCCCGCCTCAGAGATAAGTGGAAGGGAATATTGTGAACTTCCGGGGCTATGGGAATCTGCATTTTTTTTCCCCTAGCCCAGCTTCAGGCACAAACTATGTTTACCTTAGGAGTGCACTCAGGGTGGGCAAACATAAGGGGGAAGGCAGCTCAGGTCTGAGGTGCCTGGATTTCAAGTGGAGGAAGGGATGTAGAGGCGTAAGCAAAGCTCCCGAACAGGGCCCTCAGGAATGCTCGTCGGGCATGGTGGTGTCCACCCGTAATCCCAGCCCTTGGGAGGTGGAAGCAGGAGGGTCAGGAGTTCAAGTCTGAACTACATGCGACCCCGTTTCCCGACCCTTGCCAAAAGAAAAGGAAAGAAGGGAGAGAAAGAAAGGATTGTCCTGTAAACTGGGTAAGAAGTAGTTGTAGTGGTCCCCTTCTCTGGAGTCTTATCATGGCAGGCCACTGCCCCCATCTTTGTTTCTCCTAGGACAGTTTCTCAGTCAGGAGACTGTTCATCATTGTTGTTTTTCAATATGTACGAGTGTTCTGCTTGTGTATGGATCTATGTATCGTGCCTGTGCCTGGAAACCTATGTCTTCCGGAAGAGCAGCCAGTGCTCTTAACCACAGAACCGTCTCTCCGGCCTGCCTTTTCCCTCTGGGTGCGTGCACGTTTGGGACAAGGTCTCGGTAGTATGTGACCCAGCCTAACCCACAGTTGCCGTCCTGCTGCTTGGGCTTCCAGAGTGTTTGGGTTCGAGCACGTATCTCCACATAGAGCTTAAGCGCAGTTGTTAATTTAACGCGATTCTCCCATTTGACCCTCCAGGCCTGTCGCTAGCACACGGTAAATAGTTACTATGTGGTGAATGAGATTCCTGGTCGACTGTTCCCTTGTGTGGGGACCATGGGGACTAAAGCATTATAAACCTGTTGTCCTGCAAGATAAATAGAACCCAAGTGCTCATTTGTACAGGGACTTTAGGGTCTTGTATATACCATTTCTTTGTCAAAATTGTGTCCTCACCCCAGCCCAACACTCTACGTCTTAATTTCCTTTCTTTGTTATCTTAAAAACTAGCCCTTGGGGAATCCTCCTAAGTCCTGCATGCATACTTGAGCCTGCCTTGTCCTGGGCCTCTCTTGTGCTTTCTATTTATCCAGCCAGAGCATTTCTCCCCTTACTGTTGCTGACCACCTACCCCAGCCTGACTACTCAGGAGTGTCCTTGGGGAAGGATATCAACCTGCTCTAGCCCCGTGGTACTCGCATCCCAAGTGAAGGTCATAAAGATTGCCCCAGTGGCAACCATTACCTCATTTCAGGGTTCTGTCTCCTCAAAGCCAAGGACGACAGGGAGAAGTCACCTCCTCCAGCAGCCAGCCATGGCTGACATGAGAAAGAGGAATCTGGAGGTGAAACGTTCTGCTACATTCATCCAGTCAGCACAGGGAGGGCTGTAGAATTAGGCAGTAATAATGCCTGAATCAACAGGGTGTTGAGAGAACAGCAGAGCTTGTGTGGGAAAACTGTTTGCAAACTAAAGTGCTGCACACATGCGAAGCTGTATCATCTGGTAACGAGAATATCACTTTGGCTTTAGACTCCAGTGTCAATCGTTTGGCTTCCAAGGCTTAAGCTCTTGCTGCTTCTCCTGGACGGGGCAAACCAGACAGAATGTGGTGCTTTGAATGAGCGTGGCTCCCGTAAGCTCAGACTTCTTGGGAAGGATTCAGAAGTATGGCCTTGCTGGAGGTGTGTGACAGGGAGTGAACCTGCGGTTTTAAAAAGCCCCAGGCTATTCCCAGCCACCCCCCACCATCCCTCTCTGCCTCCTGCTCGTGGATCAGCTCCAGCTCTGTGCCTGCCTGTCTGCTTGCTTGCCTGTTGTCTGTCTGCTGCATTCCTGCCTGCCTGCCTGACCCCTGTCTGCTGCCTGTCCCCTGCTTGCTGCCTGCCTGTTGCCATGCTCCCAGCCATGAATGTCATGGACTCACTCAGCGACCGAACTGCTAAGCAAGTCCCCGTTGAATGCTTCCTTTTATAAGTTGCCTTGGTCATGGTACTCCGTCACAGTGGTAGAAAAGTAACTAAGAAAACCCACGGAACACAAAACTTTAAACTTCTCCTAACGGGTTTGTTTTCAGAAACACATTCTGCATGAAAGCGGGGATCGAGGCCTTTGTTACTCTCGGAAGACAACGCTTGGCATTCGGAGGGTGGCAAGGGCTGACTGTTGTCACTGTTGCTAAGTGTCCCTGTGTCTTTCGGGAGTCAGGGTGGGCCATGGTGGGTACCAGGGTGAGGAAGGTGCTCAGATTAGAAGCCCGTTACTGTTAGCATGCTAGGAGCAAGGGAGGGCAAGGCTCCACTTCAGCTGGGCACCAGTGAGTAAGTTCAGCAGAAGGTGGATAGGGAAGTGTTGGGAGCAAATGCCGGGCACTACCTTAGTGGCGGCAGAACAGAAACTGAGCGTGGGGTTGATGCAGTCTTCATGTGGCCTTATCGTTCTTGCTGGCGAGGCTTCTGGTGGTGTGACCACACAGCGCGCTGTTGGAGTGTTCCCTCCTGCCTTTGCAGGCTTTCTCCTTTGTCTGCTGAGAAAAGACCAGGCTCCTGCCTCTCCTGGCATTGAAGCCGGTTCATAGGCTGAGGTGCTTGAAACAGCTGTGAAACGGTACCATAAACCCCCACAGTTTCTCATGTGTGGCCATTTGCTCCATTCATGCTAAGGCCTGTCCTGGAGTTTTTATTCTTGCGTAGTCACCAGTTGCTTTGCAGGGCGGGTCAATTTAATCACTGCTCCCCCGCCCTGTGCTAGGTAGATGCAGCTGACGGATGTCCGCAGAGTCTCCGTGTTCTGAGCATGATTAAAATCTCATGCTTTATTTCATCCCAACACCTGCTACGCCTAGCCTTGTGTATTCAGAACAGGAGAGGAAATGCCACACACACACACACACCCATGCACACACGCTAGAGTGGTAACATAGAGGGACAAGCAAGCAGTGTGAGGAGGGCAGGGTCGGGCAGAGTCCCGAAGCCCGCAGGAGCATATCCAAGGCATGAACGGACAGAGGAAAAGGAGGCAGAGGCCTGGAGGCCTGGCGGCTGAGCAGACTGTGGAGGAAAGAGGGAGCAGCTAGCTGGAGTTTCCCCCGCTGGGGGGAGAGGTGGAACCAAAGGACCCGCCTCAGGGAGGGAGAGACCCGCAGGATGTCAGCAGTGATGAGGCGGGAAAGACAAGTCCCCAGGTCTCAGGACAGTGGCCTTCCACATCCATCCCTCGCTCAGTCCTGAACCCACACTTGAGCCGAGGTGTGTTTCTTTCACTCGGGTTTACCGGCATTCCAGGAACCCTTCTTCCTGCTGAGGCCCCCAAGCCGGTCAGGGAAGGTAAAAGACACAGAAGACACTCACAGGAGACCCAGATCATCCACATACTGCAGTGTGTGTGTGTGTGTGTTTCTTTTCACAGAGCATAAGTATAACTCGGTGGTTCGGATATTTCGGGTTCTCAGGTTTGTGTGACATGATTACAGAAAAGCTCTATCGCTTATAAAACCACTGATAACCTTGACACGCTCCCCTGGTGTTCACAGAGCCTTGCGTTCAGTTCCGACCAGTGCAAACCGCATGTGCTGACATAATCTTTTTCCCCAAACACTCAGAAGCTGGAGGCGGGAAGGCCGTGCATTTGAGGCCATGATAGGCAGGCACTCAGCGACAAGTCCTGCACCCGAAGCTGACTGGTGCCTGAGCTCCAGACCCCGGATTTCAGCTGTGGAATTTATCTCACAGGGCAGTGTGCACGAACCGAAACTGCCAGCAGGCGCTCTCGGTTCCAGCCACGCTAAGACCTTCGAGTTCGTTACCGATTTACTCTTTGCAGCTGTCCTGAGACGTTCTGATCCCCCCCCCATGAACAGAGCCCAGAGCCGGTGAGCACCAGGCCTTGAGCTAACGCCTTTGGGAAGTGGCAGGACGCGGTCCTAACCATGCAGCTGTGTGGAGACTAAGGGCAGCCTGAAACTTTCAGCTTTGCAGAAAGAGTCATCTCTGTCCCCTGCCCCAGTTCATGAGTCCTAACCTTGTCAGTCTGCTGTGTAAATGCCACCCCTCTCTCCAGGTCCGAGGCCAATGGGAGACTCGTACAGAGGCCTCCCGACTTGAGAGGCCGTCCGAGGGAGCAAGCATCATGATTGCCGATTTCCTGCTGTTGACTGCTCCGTAATGGTGCCTCTGGTCTTCTTTGTGTCTTTCAGGAATGTTTACCCTTGCAGAAGTTGCCTCACTCAATGACATTCAGCCGACGTACCGGATCCTGAAGCCATGGTGGGACGTATTTATGGATTACCTGGCGGTCGTGATGCTCATGGTGGCCATCTTCGCGGGCACCATGCAACTCACTAAAGATCAAGTGGTCTGCTTGCCGGTGCTGCCTTCTCCTGCGAACTCCAAGGCGCACACACCGCCCGGAAATGCTGACGTCACCACCGAGGTCCCCAAGATGGAAACCACCACGCACCGGGACCAGAACGGGCCGACGACAAAGGACGTTTCCCTCGACACATCTGCCATGACGCCTGCCACACCCATGCAAGCCACCCAGCCCCACACGGACTCCACCTTCCCAGATCAGGAGGTCAAGAAGGAGAAGAGGGACCCCACGGGCCGGAAGACCAACCTGGACTTCCAGCAGTACGTGTTCATCAACCAGATGTGCTACCATCTGGCCCTGCCCTGGTACTCCAAGTACTTCCCATATCTCGCTCTCATACACACCATCATTCTCATGGTCAGCAGCAACTTTTGGTTCAAATATCCCAAAACATGCTCCAAGGTCGAGCACTTTGTCTCAATATTGGGCAAGTGCTTTGAATCCCCCTGGACCACGAAGGCGCTGTCCGAGACGGCGTGTGAGGACTCCGAGGAGAACAAGCAGAGGATGACGGGGGCCCAGACGCTGCCGAAGCACGTGTCCACCAGCAGCGACGAGGGCAGCCCCAGCGCCAGCACCCCCATGATCAACAAAACCGGCTTCAAGTTCTCGGCGGAGAAGCCGGTGGTGGAGGTCCCCAGCGTGACCATCCTGGACAAGAAGGACGGGGAGCAGGCCAAAGCCCTGTTTGAGAAGGTGCGGAAGTTCCGCGCCCACGTGGAGGACAGCGACCTGATCTATAAGCTCTACGTGGTCCAGACCCTCATCAAAACGGCCAAGTTCATCTTCATCCTCTGCTACACTGCCAACTTCGTCAACGCCATCAGCTTCGAGCACGTGTGCAAGCCGAAGGTCGAGCACCTGACGGGGTATGAGGTGTTCGAGTGCACGCACAACATGGCCTACATGCTGAAGAAGCTCCTCATCAGCTACATCTCCATCATCTGCGTCTACGGCTTCATCTGCCTGTACACGCTCTTCTGGCTCTTCAGGATCCCGCTGAAGGAGTACTCCTTTGAGAAGGTGCGAGAGGAGAGCAGCTTCAGTGACATCCCGGACGTCAAGAACGACTTCGCCTTCCTCCTGCACATGGTGGACCAGTACGACCAGCTCTACTCCAAGCGCTTCGGCGTGTTCCTGTCGGAGGTGAGCGAGAACAAGCTGAGGGAGATCAGCCTGAACCACGAGTGGACCTTCGAGAAGCTTCGGCAGCACGTGTCCCGCAACGCTCAGGACCGGCAGGAGCTGCACCTGTTCATGCTGTCCGGAGTGCCCGACGCCGTGTTCGACCTCACGGACCTGGACGTGCTCCGGCTGGAGCTGATCCCCGAGGCCAAGATCCCCGCCAAGATCTCCCAGATGACCAACCTGCAGGAGCTGCACCTGTGCCACTGCCCGGCCAAGGTGGAGCAGACGGCCTTCAGCTTCCTCCGAGACCACCTGCGCTGCCTGCACGTCAAGTTTACCGACGTGGCCGAGATCCCCGCCTGGGTGTACCTGCTCAAGAACCTCCGAGAGCTGTACCTGGTCGGCAACCTGAACTCGGAGAACAACAAGATGATCGGGCTGGAGTCCCTGCGCGAGCTGCGCCACCTCAAGGTCCTCCACGTAAAGAGCAACCTCACCAAAGTCCCCTCCAACATAACGGACGTGGCGCCACACCTCACCAAGCTCGTCATTCACAACGACGGCACCAAGCTCCTGGTGCTCAACAGCCTCAAGAAGATGATGAACGTGGCCGAGCTGGAGCTGCAGAACTGTGAGCTGGAGCGGATCCCGCACGCCATCTTCAGCCTCTCCAACTTACAGGAGCTGGACCTGAAGTCCAACAACATCCGCACGATCGAGGAGATCATCAGCTTCCAGCATTTGAAGCGGCTGACTTGCCTCAAGCTGTGGCACAATAAAATTGTGACCATCCCGCCCTCCATCACCCACGTCAAGAACCTGGAGTCCCTCTACTTCTCCAACAACAAGCTGGAGTCCTTACCGGTGGCAGTGTTCAGTTTACAGAAACTCAGGTGCCTGGATGTCAGCTATAACAGCATCTCCGCCATCCCCATCGAGATCGGCCTGCTCCAAAACCTGCAGCATTTGCACGTCACAGGGAACAAAGTGGACCTGCTGCCCAAACAGCTGTTCAAGTGCGTGAAGCTGAGGACTTTGAACCTGGGGCAGAACTGCATCAGCTCCCTCCCGGAGAAAATCGGTCAGCTGTCCCAGCTCACGCAGCTGGAGCTGAAGGGGAACTGCCTGGACCGCCTGCCGGCCCAGCTGGGCCAGTGTCGGATGCTCAAGAAGAGCGGGCTTGTCGTGGAGGACCAGCTGTTTGACACGCTGCCACTGGAAGTCAAAGAGGCATTGAACCAAGACGTGAATGTCCCCTTTGCCAATGGGATTTAAACCGAACGAACGCGGGCGGGCCCAGCCACGTACCGGGACAACGTCCTAGACTGCAGACGCTCACTCGCAAGTCATTCCAAGATAACGAATTTTAGGAGTAGGTCTGCCCTCCAGACAAAACACGACGCACCCAGGCTGAGAGCAGACAAAACTGAACGTTCGGCGTTTGTAGTGTTTTAAGTCATTCGTTTCCGAATCTTTTCTTTACTTTTTTTGTTGTTGTTTGTTTGTTTTGTTTTGTTTTTCTTCTTCTTCTGGGGAAAGGGAAGGAAAAATTATAATCACTGATCTCAGTTGTTTTTAAATTGTAAGTTGGATGCGGCTGCTGGCTGAATGTTTACACATCGCTTGCCTGCTAAAGTAAATGATTAAATTGACTTTCTTCTTACTACCTTGCCTTTTTTTGAGGTGTCGTGATTTATTTTTGCTTAACTGGTGCAATATTGCTTAACCTTGGATCGTTGAAGACACAAGGGGCCAAACTCACAAATTTAGATTTGCTAAACTATTGACTTCTTTACTGTTTTAATTTAAAGCAAGTGAACGGAGTGCTTCCTGGAGCATTCGGTAGCACTGTGCCCCTGGGAATCCCACACCAGACTTTACAGTCTTGACGTCCCGGAACGAAGTGGAGGTGTGAGGAGGGTCAGGAGCCTTCGTTTCCTAAGAACAAATACTAAAAAACAATATGTCCTTTAATAGTCACGTTCTGTCCATAGGCTGGAGTTTTGGATATGTGTGGTACACTTTTGTGCCAATATGATAGGATTTCCAATAAGTGGAAAATGTGTTTTAAAAATAAATTTCATAACAATAAAATTCATTTATCTAAACTGTAGTGAGTCACAGCCTTTCTTGCTTGGTACCAGCATCTGGAAATCTGAACAGATTCCATTTCCTGCCTCTTCTTGGTGACGTCAGTGAGATGTTCTTGGGGGTCGTGTTTGAAAGAGGGGACTGGGGTTAGTCCATTGAGATGGAGGATGCCTGCATTCCCTACACATTTTAGTAGCAAGCTGTATTTCTTGTGTTTCTCTGTGTGCATGGGGGGGGGCTGTCCACGGAAACGCCGGACTGTCTGCTATAGACTACAGGTCTGTAGCTTAGGGAATGTGTGAGTTCGCCTGTGGGAGAACAGGCTCTCTGGCATGTATTTAGATACTAGCTGTAGTTCACGGGCCTTCGGCACAGCTGGCCCTCCTTCCCTTCCTCCCTCCCCCTTCCTCCCGTCTTCTTCCCTTTTCTCTTCCTCCTTCCTTCCCTTCCCTCCCTTCTCTTTTCCTTCCCTTCCCTTCCCTTCCTTCTTTTTTCCTTCCTCCCTCCCTTCCTCACTCCCTTTTTTTTTGACAGGCTCTCTTTCTCTCCCTCTCTCTCCTTGTAGACACTGTGTCTTGAGCTGCAAGCTGGCCTCCAGCTCTTTTAAGTACTCCTGAGTGCTGGGGATTACAAGTGTACACTACCGTGACCAGGTTTATGCTGCACCGAGGATCAAAGCTAGGCTTGTGTACATGCTAGGGAGGCGAGCTGCCCACTGACCTCCATCCCGGCCCTCTCCGTACCTCGGCTCACCTGGGACTGCTTGGGTAGACTGGGCTGGCCTCAAGACCTGCATCTGCCCCTCAGCGCTGAAATACTACACCTGGCAAGAGAAGACAGCTGTTTGGCTTTCAGTCTCTCACAGCCACACTGGGCCTCCCCCTGACGGGTACACATAGCTGGGAAGGTACTGGCAGGCCAGTGAGCTCCAGGGATCCGCTCGTCAGTGTCCTACAGTGCTTGCCACCGTGCTGGTTCTGTGGCTGCCGTGGATCTGAACCGTGGTCCTTGGGTACGGAGCAAGCCCTCTGATGACTGGGTGACCTCTCCAGCTCTCCGTGCTGCCTGTAAACGGCAGAAGTGGCAGGATGCCATGGCTCGCTTGCCTTCCCAGGAAGAGCCAGTTTATGGGGACTGTAGTCAGCACTGTGTCCAGAGCTGGGCACTGGCCTCTCTGCCCACAGGCACCTGCTGCCTAATCACTTAGAACTGATGGGTGCTCGCTGCCCTCAGACAGTATCAAGGGAGTGTCTTTTCTCCTGGCCGGTTTCTATTAACTTTATCAACCCTTAATAATGCCCTTGAATTCCCAAAGAGTTCACGGTCAATTGATTTAAATGCCACATTCCAGCCACTGTTTGCAAACAACTTTCTGCAAGCAACTAACTGCAGAATGCTGACTCATCTAAAGACCTTAATTGCACTGGTCTGAGGCGTCTCAGGAAAGCTTGAGGAAACTGTGGGCCTCTGCGTTTTGTGAGCCCATGATTCCATGGCTGTGTGTTAATGTCAGAGACACCGGATGTGGGGAAATCGGGTCAGACATGTTTGGGCTTAACAGTGTTTTGTCTTTGTTCAAATTCCCTTGAGCTCCCGTCTAAAGAACTGCGTCCTCCTGGCCCTTGTACGTCCTTGGCAAGCAGCCCACTGCTGAGCTGCACCTTCAGCCACTTGCAAATAGGACTTTGAAGTTTTATTGTGTGTTGAGCCAGGGTCTTCTCTGGCCGAGGCTGCCTTCTAACTCACAGTGTAGCCACGAGTGACCTTGGACTTGGAATCTTGCCGCCTCTACCCCCCAAGTGCTGGGACTACAAATGAGCACCCCACTCTGTGCGGGGCTGTGTGTTAGGTGAGGACTCGACCTACACCTCCAGGCCCTGAAGTATGTTTACGTGAAGCCTCCAAGTCTTAGAGAACATTGTTTCCTCATGATCACCCCCACCCCACGCCCAGCATTTGGTTGGCTTGACATAGGACTGGCTTCCTCAGTCATTTCAGAGGCCCCAGCACTTGTTTGAGAAAAGCACATTTGGTGACTGAGGAATAGTAGAAAGATTGCCTTGTGTAGAGCCTGTGGCCAGCAGGCCCTGACGTGTTGACATTCTTTCATGTTTGAAGGGGTCCTTCTATTATGTCTCCTTTGGTGCTTTCTGTAGCTACCTCCCCTGGTTTCCACATTAATCGAAAACCAAGCCCTTCAAGTTGCTGCTGGCGGTGACCTCTAAAGTGCCCTTGACTCCAGCACCCAGCCCTAGTTTCCATTCACTGCGGAAGAAAAGCTGGAGGGCTGGCCTCCCACCGACCCCAGCAGGATTCCTCAGTAATTCCTTCCAAGAAAATGGCCCTTTATCAGCTGAGTTCTCCAAACAAAGGCTGCACAGACCAAAAGCCTTTTCATGAAAAGAAGGGAAAAGGGAACAAAACCCTGGAAACTAGTTCCCGAATGTCCTCTGACTAAGGACTGCCACACAGAGTGGACTGTGTGGTCCTGGCCAGCTGTGGCCTCTCCTGGAGAGTGGTACCTGCTGGAGGCTGGCACAGGCTGGAGCCAGAGGTGAAGGGCAGCAGGCACGAAGGAGCCTGTCCCTGGTCCAGCCGGACCACGGACGACTGTGGCAGGAACGAGCCACTTCGCTTGTGGTTTTATTTTAAAATGTTGGATGTTAGGGAGTGGACCCAAGCATTCTCTACCCCTGAGGTGGACTGCCAGCTCCTGCCTGCCTTACCTTGTTTTTGATAAATGAGGCTGGGCCCAAGCCTGGATTCCAGGAGTGTTGGTGTCGCGGGTGTGTCTTACCACGCATGGCTAAACAATGCACAGATATAAATGGTCCCTTTTTCGAGGGTATCCATGGGATCCTGGATCTTGTCTCCCCACATTGCCTCAGGACCTCTGGGGGTAAACCACACCCCGGCACCATGGCAGGCCCTCCCTTACTCTGAGATTCAGTCTGGAGTGAATTCTTAGGTTGGAAATCAGCCTCGCTCCCAGCTGCAGGCCTCTCAGCCTCAAGCCTCAGGGGAGGCAGCCTGGCCATGGGGAAGTGTTTCCCACCTAGGTTCTTCTCCTTCCGTGGAGCATGTGTGTGACCTGGACAGAGTATATCATTTTTGGTGTTAGAATTGTTGGTAAGCGCTCACTCAGTACTACTTTATTTTCACACACACCTACAACGGAGGCTGGGGCCTTCCTCAGTGTGCATTCTGTTTTCCTTGTTTGTGAAATTTATTTCCAGTGGGTATCTGGAGCACAGAATAAACTGGATGAAGTAAAATCTTTCCCAGCCTTACTTGGGACTAGATGTGGCTACGAGATTGGATTCTAAGTGAGTGGGGTGGCCGCTTTAACGGGAAGTCCTCCCCATGGCCTGTGATACACAGAAATGAATTCAGGCCAGGATACAGACTAACACACCTGAGCACGCTCAACACAACAGAAGCCACACGAGTTCCTGGCAGCTTTGGGGAGCGTGGCTGCATGAAGGAGAAAGAAACCTCTGGACAGCTGTTAGCTGGGCAGGAAGGGGGGGGGGGCACAGGGGGGCAGGGGGGCAGGACAGTCCCAATGCATACAGCAAGTCCAGGAGGCCTTGTCACTCAAAACCCTGCGTGGCGATGGCCATAGCAGTGTCGTTCCGGAGCAGGTTGGAATGGGGGCATCACAGGTCTCTTCCCAGGCCGAATCCAAATCCAATAGGAACGGTTGAGAAGCGGCCCGCAGCATTGGAGCACTTGCCCGGCACACGCTTGCCTGGCACACAGTGCCCTGGGCTCAATTCCTTAGCCCTGGAACATGAATGACCAAGTCTGAGAAGCACTGTCCTTAGTAACCGTGGAGACCAGGCATATGATCACTGGAGGAAGGACCTTGCCTCTGAGCCTGTGACCTGAGTTCAGTCCTGGGGGCCACGTGGTGGAAGGAGAACCAACACCTGCAGGCTGTTCTCTGAGCTCTACATGTGTGCCCGTGTGCATGCGCATGCCTGAACACAAACAAAGCAGAGGATGGTGTTGGTGGCTGGCATTTCCGACAGCGGAGTTAAGTTTGAAAACTTGGCACTTGTGGCTTATACCCACTTCCATACTTACATTTGTTCCTGCTGGCTCCTGTGGTCTTTACATCACCATAGCAACCATAGAGCTCCTTGGGCTGCTGTGGACAACCTGCCCTTAAGATGTGGTGTCCAGCCAGCTGTGGTGCAGCAAGGGACAGCCCAGAATTGCCGCCAGCAGCCAGCACCTGCACTCAGGTATGGTAAGGTTAGTATTAATTTTTAAAGATCTATTTATTTATTATGTATACAATGTTCTGTCTGCATGTACACCTGCAGGCCAGAAGAGGGCACCAGATCTCACTATAGATGGTTGTGAGTCACCATGCAGTTGCTGGGAATTGAACTCAGGATCTCTGGAAGAGCAGACAGTGCTCTTAACCTCTGAGCCAGCTCTCCACCCTTGTTAAAGTTATTTTTATAAAACTGTTTGTTTCTCAGTTTCTCCCTTAACCTGGCTATCACACAAATGTTGCTGAATATTGATAATTAATATTCGATCATATAATTAGTGAAACCTTATTTATGTATCCATTAATCAATGACTTCCCCCAAATAACCACACATTGAGACCATGATTCACTCAAAATCAAGCACAGAGGTGAACATAATAGCTAATCTGTTATCTCACTATCCATCTATCTTCTCCTATCCAAGGTCTCAGATACTGGTGTTATTGTTTCTCTCTTATCTGTCCATTCTCCTCTCCCCAGCCTCCCCTGACCTTCAGCTTCACAACCTCAAAACTCCACCCTCTCCTGCCAAATCCCAAGCTTCGGCATTTCTTATTAAATTAGGTGGAGCAAGGTTTACACAACAAGGATAGGTACATGTGAGAATGTGCTCATCAGAGCAGGGACAAGATCTTGGGGGGGCAGTAATTAACATAAAATACATAGCACGAGAGAAACCCCCACCACACAAATAACTGAAGCTCTGTTATCTTAACAAGCTTCACAGCACAA